CAAATATTTGATATAAACTACATGTACTTATAGTCAATCATTAAAAACTGGTCAAACCTGTTTCTTCTGGTGTCTTTGGTCTTTGTGTCATCATTGCAATAGGACTCTCTCTCCCTCCCTCTCTCCTCCTCTCTCTCTCTCCTCTGCTGATATCAACTTTCATTGGTACTTCACTAGATACAGCAACTTGTTCATCTTCTTCTTCTGGTATGACAGTATCATCATCTACCAGTGATAGCTCCTGCATGCATGAACACACGCATGCACGCATAATTAATGAGATACAGATACTTATACCATGTGTACTGTAGTATGTAGTGGCCAGTGTGTGTGTGTGTGTGTGTGTGTGTGTGTCTGGAGGTGAGTATCAGTAATGTAATACCTGAGTCCCTTGATATCTGCCCTCAGCTTCACCTCAAGCAGATATCTCAGTCCTCAGGTATTACATTACTTATACACACACACCTCCTCCAGACAGGCTGCAGGTACTTATATTGCTGCTCTTACTTCAACTGATGGTATGGTCTGTAGATCCTCTGATAAGTAGCTGATCTGAGATGAAGGTCTAGTGTATCCAGTGGTATGTGTCTCAGGGCTAGGGCTCCTAATGATCATTGAACTGTAGCACTCATGGGGATCTGTATAGTAGGGGGAAAGGAGAGGATTTGGTATTTAGTATCTGCAATTGTGTGGACTGTGGTATACCGTATAAGTGGTTTTTTTCGAGGGTTGCAAATTTCGCGAATTTCGTGGATTCCCTCCTAATTCGCGAAAATAAAATCCGCGAAAATCAATTTAATACGGTACCCGCATGGCACACGTGGTAGGATTCGCGAAATTAAAATCCGCGAATTGGAATTTTAGCAGATTTCGCGAAATATAATTCCCTCGAAAAAAACCACTTATACGGTAGTTCCTTTTATTGCAAGCTTAGATCAAATCTTTTAATGAATTTTTTTAGTATTTAGTATTGCAATTATAGGGACTGTGTAATAATTGCATCTAATGTGCATGTACTCAATTTTTTTAGTATTTTAATACTAAAAATACCCTCACAAAATTCACTAATATTTACTATTGAAAATATAAGTATATATACTTATATTTTAATGTAAGCACAGGTATTCTGATTATATGTTTCAAAAAATAGAAATAATTTCTTCTCCTAGTTATTAGGATATTGCGGTGCTATTGAAGTTATGTTGAGTATATTCTCAGTACACATACCAGTGACTGTATCAGTATATAATTAACTAATAATGATCATTAACAATATAAAAGAAATAATTAATAACTAATAAACAACAAGACGATTATTATAAACATCACAAACATACAATAATTCATCTTTATCAAATGCTAATCCATAAGGATAATCAAATTGATCAATATTAGTGCCTACACTTCCAAACTTCCTAACAAACACACCATCACTAGTGAAGACTGATATACGATGATTGCCCCCTTCACTAACATACACTAGACCAGTAGCTGCAGTGTCTATTGTTATGCCTTGTGGATAACTAAGCTGTTCAGGACCAGATCCTTTAGTACTAAACTGACCCACAAACTTTCCATCTGGAAAGAACTTCTGAATGCGATCATTATTCCTATCAGTAACATACACTAATCCTTGACTGTCAATAGCAATGTCAAATGGAGACTTAAACTGTCCATTAGCTGATCCTTTACTACCAAATGAATGAGAGAAGGTTAGATCAGGATTCAAGACTTGTATACGATGATTACTATATTCAGCAATATAAACCTGTCCTGTTATAGGAGAAATGGCTATACCTTCTGGAGCAATGAATTGTAGTGGTCTACTGCCATACTTACCAACTGATGCTATAAGGTATCCATCCATACTTATCTTCTTGATACTGTTACTGTCAGATACAAGAATGAATTTGTCTGGAGTAATGGCTACACCACGAGGAGAAGAAAACTTGACATTACCACTTCCTCCTTCCCCTCCTAATGATTTCACTTTCTTTCCTTCTCTATCCAGTATTGTTACACAGTCACCATCACGCTCAGTTATTATAACATGATTATCATTAGTTACAGCAACTCCCCAGGGATTCTTAAGCTCAGTTATAGTACGTACTGGAGTGATGTTATCAAGGTAAGGATTGAAAGGGATGACTAGTGAGGTATCCTCAAGGTGTACATCATATACTTGTACTTTTACTGTATGAGTACCACTGGTTGAAGGGTTACACTGTATCCTATACACTCCAGGATCAGTGTTGGTGGTAGTGACTGTAGTGTCAATGGGTTCATCACCTTTACCAACTGGTACTAGACTACACCTCAGAGAAGAGACGGGAACACACAAAACAGATGAATCTGGTGCCTCCATTGATAGTGAAAACGAAACTGCTTTGCTAGCAGGTGTAATATGATCAATCTTCTTCACTCTACACTGCTGTAGTGAAGTAGATGAGTAGGTCACAATATCTCCAATGTGATGTAGTGATTTGATATCTTTACTCAATACAAAGTCGGCCTTTTCCTTTGGATGTAACTCCTCCACATTGATCCCTCCAGTAACTTCACTCATACGCTCCATCATCTGTTTCTTACACCTCAGGACTTGTTGAGGACTGCCTGTCTTCAGACTCTGTTCCACATAATCCTGGACATCCTTCAGAACACTCAAACTCATTTCTGCTGATTTCATTTGCTCTGACAGTACCTTTAGTTTAGCATCAGTGACCCTCTTTGCCTGCTCAGTCAGTTTCCTCTCTGACTCACGAAGAACATTCATCATTTCCTCTACCATTTCATGTATTTCTTCTAAGACTCCTTCTCCTCTCTCTCTCATCTCACCCTCTCTCTCTGCTAGAGCAGACAGGACCTTCTTGAGTGCTTTAATTTTCCTTTTTACTGGATTAAGAGAACCTTTCAGTTCTTGACAGTGTTTAGTATAACTGGCAGAGACTAAGTCATACTCATGGTCTTTATGAGTACGTACTGTACAGTCACGACATATAACACTATCACATGTTTCACAGTAGAGCTTCATTTTCTTGTTATGAGTGGAACAAGTGAGGGTTGCCTCCTGTTTAGCTGAAGCTAGCAATTGAGAAGTAGAAGAGACATCAGAGGCTGTCACATCATCAAGAC